AGCATCAAACCCGGATCATCGCCGAGACCTCTGTATAAACTTAAGGTATATTACATTATGTTCCAAGCAAACCCCTTAACCGAAATCATTCTCAATGATACCTTTCTAAAATCATAGCTAATCCACGAGTGCCCCTTAGACCAGAAACTGATATAACACATAACCTTACAATCTGACCGTCAATAGCAAACTCCCCCACTTAGTTCGAAGCCATAGAATACATCGTAAGAAATTAACAGTACTATTCCTTCAAAGTTGCCCTGGTCCTACACTGTTAATCGTCTGAATACGTCATAAACTTATGCAACACTAGTCATAAAATACTTCAAAGACTCTGCCAAACACATACTTATCCTTATGTCAGTCAAGCCAATTTCCTCAAATGCTCCAAAATAATAGTGTATGCATTCCACTTAATAGAAGCTTCTTACGAAACACAAGACTCAATTCTTCATGCAGAAGATAACCTCAGGCTAGACTCAAATCAACACTTTCTCATGGCCCTACTGTGGTCACAATAACTAGGCAACTGATTACTACTCCCGAATCTGCACACGTCGACAAGATATAAGAATCTGCTTTATCCCACAAACGAACAGCTAGAAGACTATCAACACATCAGCATCAAAGCCTGTCCAACTCATCTTGACGGTAATCAAGAATTCACAACCCTTCGTATCCCATCCACAACATCACCAGCCGTTAGTGCATAATGATACTTGGTGCTCAGTTTCACATATGGACGAATATAATGAATCAAAGTCAAAGTTTTCAAGCTGAAACAAGGTCGTACGATAGAGAAAGAATGAAGGGAAGTTTCCTAAATTTCCTATAGGCTCTCGAAGAAAGGTATGGACATCATCATACCGATCCGCAAGACTCTACTAGATACTTGTTCATGACTCATAGAACCTATGAACCTAGTGCCTTAATACCAACTTGTCATGACCCAAAATTTTTACTAAGTCGTAATGCACCTAACCCAACTCGCTAGGTAATCCAAACATTATAAGTTACAACTAATCTGTGAAATCAACAATGTATATAATAGAAACTATAACCGATTTCAATACAACTACCCTAAGGACTAATAGTACAAGTCATGAGCCACTATGATTTAGATTTACAAAATCTATATGAAGAATAAATACAATATTTGTTTGAAGTTTATATAAACAGAACTTAAATCCTAAACTACCATAAACAAGAGGTAGCTTGAATCTGGAATGCAGGTACGTCTTCGATGCAATGCTTCGCCCTCCACAACTATGCAGCTCCAAGATCTTCACACAAGGTGCAAAAGTATAGTATGAGTACAACCGACCTCATGTACTCAGTAAGTATCTTGGCTAATCTCGGTAAAGTAGTGATGAGGTTTTAAGTTAAAGATACTGACTTACTATGTACCCGTGCAGATAATGAGCAGGGGAAAGAAGGTAGGAGATATGTCAAATAACGCTAAGAGCATCAACTGGAGAGCTATGGGGAAAGTTAACAGACATGGAAAACTCAACATAACCTCATAACCATTTCTACAAAAAAAAATAATAGTCGTGAAGTACGCGCAAGGATCATAACCAAACATCACTAACAAATACCGTTGTTGCGTGCAACCCGATCCCAATCTCAATTAACACTGTTTTGGCGTGCAATCCGATCCCAATATCAATTAAACATTGTTGCAGCGTGCAAGCCAATCCCAATATCAATAAACTCTACTGCAGCGTGCAACCCTATCCCAATATCAATAAATATTATTGTGGCGCTCAACCTGATTCCAATATACAATAATGTCATATGAAGCCAAAACAACAAGTAAACGCGGGATAAGTTCACAATGTAACATTAAGAAAAAGAACACACAGTATTCAAATAGGTAATACAACTCTAACAAAGTATGATGAGCATCCCAATATCAAAATCTAGTCTATCGTTTATAATGATAAGGCTTCCACAAAGCATAACACACAACCAATCTAAAAATCATCCAATCCAATTAAGAAAAGGAGAGTAGGACATGAAACGAGTAAAGATATTTGTCAAGTACGAACAAGGAACAAATGAAGGCATTCAATATATGAAATCATGTAGCAAGTAGAAGCATGTAGCAAGTAAAGGCATTTTATAAGTGAAGGCATGTGGTAAGTAAAAGCATAGAGTAAGTGAAGATATATAGTAAGTAAAAACATGTAGTAAGTGAGGGCATGAAGCAGATTATGACATCTAACAAGTAAATTATGTGACAATTAGAGACATGTAACATGTATGGTTTATTAACAGATAAAGGCATGAATTCGAAAAGGACACACAGCAGAAGAAAATCAAGTAAACGTGTAGGTGTAATAGTAAGAGACAAGGTAAAGACGTAGCTATAACAGTAACATGCCAAATGAAAAACACAGAGATAACTACATAAGGAACTCAAACGGAAGATATCTTACAAAAAAATAAACATTAGTAGAAACCAAAGAAAAGGGCATGTAAGTGATTAACAAATGAATAATCATGACAGAATTTCAACTTCCTTTCTTTTCGCACGGTAGTAACAAAACAAACCAACCTCATTTCAAACCGCACAAAAATACTCATCATGCTGACATTTTATCAACCGCACGAAAATATCCATCATACCAAATATAGACCTAAGACCCTAATCACTGTCTCTTATTACAAATAAAGAAACTCAAGTAACATGACAATAACAGGTATAGATATAGGTTCGTGATACCACGATCAAATTAAGTATGCAACAAATCTAAAAAATAATACATTAAATCATTTTTAAGATGTCATATATTCTAGCATGATTTCTAACACAGTTAATTGAGTTTATTAGTTATCGAATTAGATAAAGCATAGGTTAAAGAATCATCAAGTTCAACAAAGGTACAAAGAAGCATATAGTTCCCCCTTCCAAGCATGGAAACCCTGGCACATGCATATACACTCGTCACCTCGTATATGCATCACCTCGCATGTAGCAAATAATATTAATTAGTAGAAAAAAATTTCCCAACAAAGCTAGGCAAGCACTTACCTCATTCCGGAATAATTTTCACAATCCAATACCGTCTTCCTTAGAAATACATCTCAAAACGATCAAAACCTAATCAAATATCATCTAACAAAGTCAAATAATGCTAAAGGAAACATCCCCAATCAATAAAGGTCCAATCTTGACAAAAATCTCAAAAGTCATCAAAAGGTCAACCATGGCCCACATGGTCGAGATCCGAGATTCAAACCAAATCACGATTATTCATTCAATTCTGAGCCCGGATATATAATTTATTTCAAAATCTGACCTCAATTTGAGGTCTAAATCTCAATTTTACGAAATTTCTAAATTCTATCCAAAACCCCTAATTCATATCTTAAAATTTATAGATTTGATATTAAAAGTTCATGAAAAGTAGTGGGGAATTGATGAAAAATAATTTAGAGTTGCTTACTAATGAATTTGGGGATAAAAAAGTTCTTCAAAATTGCCTCTAGATTGTTTAGGGTTGAGAAATGGTGAAAAATGAACTAAGTCCCTAAATCCCCACAATTTAGCCAGCTACAGATTGCAATTGCGATAATCGAAAAACCAATCAACTGTTTGCAAAAGTGAAAAGTCTCTAAGCCTAGAGATATCGCAAAAGCGATGAATGCATTGCAAATGCGAATCCAAGGCAGTTTGCAAATGCGGACAACACCTCACAAATGCGAGTCTGACCCAAATTCCTCATAGTCGCAAATACGACATGAACCTTGCAAAAACGAAACCTCCACCATCGCATTTGCGGAAAGAGCATCGCAAAAGTGAAGCTGACCCAACCCCTCCAGCATCGCAAATGCGAGCCTAAACTCGCATTTGCGGACAGGTTCTCGCAAATGCGAGACCTACAGACCTGATGCACCAGCATTCCTTCTTACACAAATTAATCAGTTCTCTAAGCATCCAAAACTCACCCGAGCCCCTAGGGCTCCAAACCAAACATGCACACAACTATAATAACATCATGCAAACTTGCTCGCCACCTCAAATTATCAGTATAACATCAAATAATAGAATCGATCATAAAAACTCAAAATTTTCAAGTTTAAAACCAAAATTTCTATTTTTTCACATAATGCGCCGAAATACGCTCGGGTCATCCGAGACCCCAACGAGACATACGTACAAGTCCAAAATTATCATACGAAATCGTCAAAACACTGATCTGAGGTCGTATACCAAAAACGTTGACCACACATGGAAGTCATAAATCACCAAATAGAGTTATAAAAAGTCTCAAAATACACAAAAGAAAGCTAATACTCAAAATGACCGGTCGATTCGTTACAGATAGCTTCAAGTAAAATACTTTATAAACTATTATGCATTCAAAAGAAAATTTCTTGTCTGAAGCACCGTCATTTAAACATCGTTCACACTCTATTTTTCTCAAGAAACTATTTTTCTTCTCTTTATTTATGACTTGTGTCAGGGATACACAAATGAAAAGGAGCTCCTCTAGTCATAATAGGAGGCGCGGCCTCCAAGTAGAAAAACAAAGGAAAATCCTTTCTCCAGAAAACCACCTCCACAAGCATGACTAATGGCTTTACCAATGATTAATTTTGGCTGCAATCTTCAATTTTTTCATCACATGTCTCTGCCAATTTTTTTCCGCTTATGATTTTCTCTGCCAATTTCCTCCCTTGTTCTTTTCTTATTTTTAGTTTTTCCTTTCAACAAATTGGGTTGGATCCACAACTTTGTATTTTTTTTTAAAATATCAATGGTATCCAAAGCTGCTTGTAAATACTAATTTTTACCGAATATCTGCTACCTTTCCTATAACTTTGCCTTTTTTTAAATAACGGTTGCATGTCACTTTTTTTAGCGGTTACCTGCTACCGCCCATAACTTTACCACTAAAACATACAAGTTAAGCAGAACTTGTGCCATTAAAACACACAAGTTAAGCATAACTTGAGTCAACGAAGTTTACTATATGTAAGTGAGATAATAATCAAGACTCAATCAAACCACACCAACATTGACAACACTTAAAGAATACAACCAAATGTACAGTGCCTAAACAATTCTACAATCCTAGTACATACAGTGGCAATATCCAAAATAGGTAGGTCACAAAACAAATTCCCTATGCTTGTTTTTACAACCGAAGTAACCAAAAGAAGATAAGTGATCTATCCCTACAATTTATACTATTGGAGGGGCACTTAACTTGTAGGGTGGAAAATTGTGAGGCCCAAACCTAAACATCACTTAAGTACTATGGTAAAGAGTAATATAATCAAATATAAAGTGAACTTCTAATTTCTATATTGTTCGAGCTCTTCAAAAATACTCACAGTTGCGTGTTGGATCCTCCAAAAGTAGTGCATTTTTTGGAGGATCCGACACGAATGTAGCAACATATTTTGAGACATAACTTCTAATGTTTAGTTGTAGGATTGTAATTATGGATTGGAGGCTTGCGGCGAGGCCTGGCCCTTCCACTGTAATCCTTCCACATCAGGTTTGCTACTTCATCTGCTGCATCAAGAAACTGATCCTTTGAATCATTTTTCTTTGTCTTGCTAGAGCTGGCTTTCTTTGATGCTGCATTGGGCTCAAGTGTTTCCACCTATCATATATTTCATTGTATCAGAATGCAAGTATATAGCAAGTGTAATCCCAAAGCAATGTTTTAGATTTTAGTTAATTGGTACTCCTTCCGTCTCAACTGATGTGGTACATTTTAATTAGGCTCGAAATTTTAAAAAAATACTTTTGAAATTTGTGGTCTAAAATGAACTATAAGTATTTGTATGACCATAAGTCTTCTCAATAAGAATAAAATAAGAAGTTTAAATTTAAATTATTTCTAAATATAAAAATATATCATTCTCTTTGGGTCAAACTAAAACAGAAAGTGCATCATATAAATTGGAACAGACAGGGTACTACCTAGCATGTTTTTTCTCCTTCTCGTGAGAGGAGATTATAACTCATATACAATGACAATACACAGGAGAACTTACACTCTCAATGCATTTTAATATATGTAGTGTGTATATGTGTTCCATTTTAGGAAAAGGACCGGAAAAATGTGTTGATGCACCAAAAGTTTGATTGGAATTGAATATAAAATTGATGATGTAGAATAGCAACAACACTTATCTTGGGAAAAAAAAAGAAGAAGAAGAGCTCTTATATTTGTAGTAATTTTGATACAAAACCTTTCAGAGAAGAGTTTAACAAATTATATATACCAATACTGTAAAATCTTATTGACTTAAGATAGCAACCATGTTCTTGAGTTTCGATATATTGTCGTGTGGCTTGTTTATTAATGATGGAAGACATCGTATCTATGCTAGAACACTCTAGATATTCTAGACAATTTAGTAGCATGCATAAATATATAGAATATTGTTCTACATATAAGATATTATATATCAAGACAATATCTTCTTTGCAAAATAAATCACAGATCAATTTTCAGAAGAAGGGGGTGTTGAATGAGAGAGAGAACCTGAACGTTAATTTGATGTTCTTCCGGTCCCTGAAGAGGGACATTTTCCAGCATTTTTCTTCCTCCAATCTTCCTTAGTATTCCTGCATAGAAGACCAAGAATTTGGCAAAAGCAAAAGTCAGTGATCCTAATTAATTAGGGCAATGGAATGGAAAACTATTTTCAGAAAATAAATTATTTTCTAATGTTTGGTTGTTAGGAAACATTTTCCTGGGGCAAATATTTTTCACCAAAAAAAAAAAATGACTTTCTTCACTCTCGAACGGAAGTCATATTTTTGCTTCACAATTATCATAAATCTTAGCTTCATTACATCATTGCCTTAACCGGCCAACAATTTGACATTATTATGAATTTTTTATACAAAAAAGATTTCATCAAAACCCTCTCTGGTTTGCTAATTTTATTATCAACCTTTAATAAATAAGCATTTTGGAATAAAAACATTTTCTGGAAATAGGTCATTATTTTCCTAAAATATTTCCCAAAAAAGGAGAAATGGATATAACTGTACTTACCTAACTGAGTATGAGTAGAAGAGGGCTGCTCTAGGACAAGCAAAACAACGACCATAACAAGGAGTAACAATTGTATGAAACGAGTGGAACTCATTTTTGAACAGTGAGTTTTTCTTTCTTAAAAAACATGAAAGTGATTATTTTCCTCATGAAGTGAGAGGCACAAAGTACTAACACAAAGATTGGGTTTTTATAGAGAGTTCAAAATCAACTCATAGTCAAAGCTAGGGTACAGACATCTACCTTATTCTAATATATGAACCCTGACATCGTGCGTGAAGTACTTTGGAAATCTCAATTTGTAAAAGATTCTAAATTGAGTAAATAAGTAAATATAATGTACTAGTACTAGTACTAGTAGTAGTTTTCTCTTCTAACACTTCCTTGGGTTAAATGTATGCTTATCACTAGGATTATAAGCCATAAGGTACTTGCAATCTATTGGTCTGATTAATCTAGCTAGCCAAGAAGTTTTAATTTCTATTCTCCCGTCTTGAAATCGGGACCTTTAAGTAGAGGTCCAACCATCTTAACGAGCACGGAGGGACTTTCTAGGTACATATATAATGTAAGTACCAAAACTTTCAAGCAATACATACTTTAAGCTCAGTTTGCCAGTTATATTTAAAAGGATAATGAATGAGCTGTTATGATTCCATACATCTTTAAACAAAGCAAAAAGAAAAAAAATACTGCCATGCAAATCAGTAGGTAATATAGTCAGCAAATTATTCAAACCCTGAGACAAGAATCAGAGACTTGGTCGCCAGCTCATGAGTCAGTAAAAAGTGCATGAAACAATAAATATTTTCCTCATCCCTTGGATATCATTTTCAGTTTTGCGAAGTGACAGACACAGAATTTTTATAAAAAAAAAAATCAAAATATAAAGAAGTAAAATACGAAAAAATCAAGAGGATTCAGTCTATAGTATATGTCACACCTCCTTTTTACTACCCGAAGGGGATATAAGGAAGTTTTTCCAATTAAAGTGACATTAATCGAAATGAGATTATTTTATTTAATTTTTCAGAGTCGTCGCCTGGGATAATTTATTTGGTGTCCCAAGTCACCGTTTATTTTAAAATCCCAAATCGAGGAAAATCGACTTTATTTAAAAATCTGCGAAACCAGAATTCTATTTAAGGAATTCTATTAACCTGGGAGAAGGTGTTAGGCATTCCTGGATTCCGTGGTTCTAGCATGGTCGCTTAAACTATTAATAATTGGCCTAATTATCTGATTTACCACATGTTTTAAAACCTAGTGTGCATTTTAAAACTTTAAACCGCTTTTATTTTATGGGATTATTCTAGAACAAATTACGATTGTCGTACACTTGTTTTGTTTGATACACATTGCGAATCATGTCATGGGAACCGTACCCACGATCTACAACATGTTTAATTTATTAAAGTTATTAGAAATTGTGGCCGGGTCACATAAATGTATCCCCGAATTTGGGAATTAGATATCACAGCTACGTCACGGGAACCGTACCCGTAGCTATGATGATTTTATTATAAACACGCCTAAAGTAAACTACGAGTGTTTAAAAGAGTGTTTTTCTATACTAAGTTAATATTAATGTGAGGGCCATATGTTAGGTGATTCAATTGTAAATGACTCGCCTCGATTTATTTCTTAAAAGATTTGTATTTCATTAAAGCAAGCTAAGGATAGTCCTATTTAAATCTAATTTGAACTTAGGTATCACAACTACGCCACGGGAACCGTTCTCGTAGTTGTGACGATTTTAATTACGAGCCTAAAGCAAACTACGAAATATTCAAAAGTATTTTCTATAATAGTTGGTATTAATATAAGGGCCATGAATTACGGAGTTTAAATAGATGGCACGCCTCAATTTATTTTAAAAGGTTATACTTGACTATTAGCAATTCAAACTAAAAGAAAGACGAGATTTGGTTGGGTTCACGCCCAAAGCAGACGATTATGCTTACAAGATTTAAGTACTGATATTCAGTTTATGATTGCATACGAGGGCCTAAATTGTGGAATTAACAATGGGTGAATGCATTTTTGGACACTAAGGGAAGTACCACAAATGGTCATAATTAGACAGATAAATTAGGATTCAAGAACTAAATACAATCAATTTTTTTGAACCCAAAATATGTGAAATGAATTAGTAAAGAAATCATGAATTTTATTTACAAGGATACAAGCCAGGTATATAAGCCCATTTTTTCTGAAAAAATATCAAGCTCTCAAATAATTTTTGCTAAGATCCTTACTGGGCTGATAACTAAACTTGACTAACCCAATTAAATAAATTGACCCCAAAATCCTTATGCAAATATGCAAGTTTGTGGTAATTGTCCAAATACAGCAAATACACATAAAAAAAAGGAATCATGGGCCTTCGAAACTTCAAAGAAAATCACCTAGAATCTGACATTTACAATTTCGGCCATTTCAAATACAACTCTTGATAATTAATGCCTTCTAATGTATACAAAATTATTTGCCATAATAAATTAAACTAATACACTGTCTGATTTAATCTTCAGCTCTAAACCCTTTTTCCAGCAACTTTAAATCCTTTCCTTAGCTTTAGAGTTTGCCAATCTAACCAATTAGTGGTCAGATCTGCAAACTACAGCTAAATAATCAATAGCAAATAATTTTAATACAAATCTACATATTTCGAATAAAGAAAACTATAGTAGAATTCATATTCATACTACAGCCAAATCTGCCTGACCTACACAACATTCTCAACCTTAACATCAAAAGGGATATTTAGTGACTGATGCCTTCATACTATTTATAACTAACATAAAATATTTCTAAAAGAAAGAAAAGGAAAGAATAAGACAGCATGCCATTCAAAATCCATATTTCATCAACTACTGATGTCAATAGGCCATTTCCCTTGTCCAAATACTCCAACCATTATACAAAATAACAAAACAAATAAGCAGAAGACAAAACTAAAGCAGATTTAAAGCTTTAAACAGACTAAAAATTTCAAAATCATTGCAAGAAATAAGCAATCCAACTTCATTTGTACTCGAATGTTTAAGGAAATCAACATTTCATTCAAGACAAATCAATCCAAGCACACAAAAGTTTACGAAAATACCTAGAAAAAGGAAAAAGCAACTTAAAAGAGCAAAGCAAATTGCAATTCTTAGCTCAGCTCAGCAGAAATCAGCAATGAATAAACTCAAAGTTCTGTTCCACCTTCTGAAACCCAACCAAGAAGAACCCCAAAACAATAGAAAACTCAAGATTTCTTAAGAACCCTTGAAAGAATTTTTGTTCTCAACCGTTTCCTTTTTTTTTTTACTCTTTTTATGTGCCATAATCATTGGCAAGAGGATCTTTTTATAGAAGGAATTTTAGGGCAACCAAATCAGATTTTTGTATTTTAAAAATACCCCCTTAACTTCTAATTTTATTAACTTACCCCCTCCNTCCCGAGTACCCCTGTATTTGCCCCTTTTATTTTTACTGTTTTGAAGTTTAAACCAAGTGGTACTGGAGTTGGACCATTTACACCCTTAAGCCCAATATTTACTTGGGTTTTCGTACTAACAGAAACCAAGTATGAACCCCAACCCAAAACCAAACGAACTTATGCAGAAATAAACCAATATTTAATTAAACAAAGGCTAATGATGTATCTTTTAAGAAAATATACATTATGACGGTAATTAAACCTAATTATTGAGACATTAATCACTGATTGGTCAATTATGCCTTAGAAAAAAATAATTAATTTTTTTTAGACAGAAATGAACCCATAGTAGAAGTTATGAAGAAAAAAAAAACGGGAGGAGAAATATACTGGTGGAATCAACAAAACTTCAATGCCTCTGAGAAGAACAACAAGATCTTGATTCGAACTCGAACGAAAAAAATCTCAGCCAATGGCGAGAATTATAACATGAACACTGGTCGGACTCTCGTCTCTGGCCAGTGCTTCATGCAATAATTCTCACCACATGCCAAAGATCGGACGAGGCAAAGGCTCAAAGTATTTGAGTCATGAACAGGTTATTTGCCCAAAATCCAGCCAATCTATGATATAGGACAAACTGAAGATTAAAACGGCTCTCTTTGTTGAAAAAATGGGGGATTCATGCAGGTTTTATCATGAATTGAGGATCAAATCAAGAAAATTTGGACAAAAGGCAAAAGGCTTGGATTTTTATTCTTGGATCTCAAATTCGGAGAAATTGAGTGATCTTTTGGAGAAAATAATGACGGGATATTAATTAGGGGATGATGGAGGTTGGGTGGTTGAAATTTGGAGGCTTTTGGAGGTGGTCCGCCACCATGACACGATTTTCGGGCAACGAAGGGACGATGGAGTGAGGCAAAGGTTTCTGAAAGAGATGAGGCTAGGTTTAATTTTAGTGAAATCAATCTAATTAATAATAGCAAAGGGGAATTTGGTCGTTTAATGGGGCGAGGACATCAAAATGGCGTAGTTTTGCCACGAAACTACGTCGTTTTGGGGGTAAAGGGAGGCTGACCTGATGGGATCTTTCGGCCTGGGTTTGGATTGAATTGGGGAGAATGTTTGGGCCGATTTGGGGTATTTAGAATAGCCCAGATTTAAATTAAAAATCCCCTTCATTCCAATTCTCTTCTTATTTCTTTTTTCTTTTCTTTTCTTTTCTTTAATTAAAAATCCCAAATTAACATCCTAAATTAATTTAAATTGTAAAATTAGACTAATTATCTAATTAAAAAATTATAAAAATTACTTGATCCTAAATTAAAAGAGAAAAATCAATAATCTAAAAATTAAAAGGTAAAAATGTAAAATAAGCCATTTTTGTGATTTTTATTTTTTAATAAAACACATAATTAACTAATTAATCCTAAAATATAAAAACAAAACCTAATGCAATGCATGGTATTTTTGATATTTTTCATGATTTTTAATAAAAATTAAACGGGCACAAAAAATACAAACAATTAATAAAATCCTACAAAAATCCTATAAAATGGCAAATAATTGGAAAAAATCTATTTTCTTGGATTTATAGGAGTGATTCATATAGGGCAAAAATCACATGCTCACATCTACCCCTCTTTGTTCGAAAACACGAAGGGTTTTCGGGCAAAGATAAAATGAGCAATTACGAGCGATTTTTGCCCGTTTGAAACTCCATGAGAAGCATCTTTTGAAAAAGTCTGACCGAACCTTACTTCGAAGGGTGCCTACATATCCTTGGCTATAAAGGAATCAGGTCAGTGTTGTTCTGGAAGTTTTGGTAGCTGGGACTACCGGAAAACTGTGATTTCACTGTTGTTGTTGTTGTTGTTTCTGCTTGCTAAGCTCCTTATTACACCAAAATAAAAGATGAAAAACTAAACTAGCTAAGCCTATTAACTACGAGTTACAAAATTCCTATCTATAAACCTTCTAAAGCTCGATCTTGAGTCTTGGATGGTTCTTCCTGCGGACTCTGATCTGAATCTTGATGCTCGTTAGTTGCAACCGCTGATTCATCCTTCTTCGGCTTTTCGGATCAAGGCGGGACATGCAAAACTTGTGCCTTCAATCATATCTTGAGCAGTCCGCATCTTTTCTCCACTTCTACACTGAGAGTTCAACTTTTTTTCTTTATTTGGGTTGAGACTTCTTTTTTTGGTCATCTCAAACCTTATGCCCTACGGTGTAAACCTGTCCCAGCACCAAAGCAAACAAACGAACGAAATTTTTCTACCCCAGTTTTTACTAGGAAAATTTCGAGAGTTATTGTAACAAAATCTAAGCTATTTCTTTATGGAAAGCAATTAACATCGGGATTGTGTATACCTGAGAAAAAGAGATTAGGGAGTGGAGACCCTATATCTAAAATGCAATCAAATGGGGATCGGAGGCCCCAAGTTGGGAAGATTACCAGGTTATGCTGGAAAAATGACCAGGTTATGCCGGAAAGGTCCTCGGGTTATGCCAGAGATGGTCATCGGGTTACGCCAGAAAAAGGTCATCGGGTTATGCCGAAAAAGAAAAAAAGTCCTCGTGTT